AATTCGCTTTTTTATTAAAGCAAATTAGTTTCCCGAGATGACGTACATTTATTGCTGCAAAAATTTCGAGGAGATAGTCACATAAGTTGAGGAAGCTAAAGGAATCTCTAATGCCATCAAGCCTGTGATATCTGAACATTAGATGCTCAGCAGACTCGAGAACATTGAAAACTTTACAAACATCACATGTTATAGCGCGAATCATTTTTAAATAAACTTTATCATAAGGGCGACCACTCATGAGTCTATAAAGAATTTTAATTTCCCAGGAATTAAAGGAAGATAAAGAAAAGGGTTTGAATTGAAATGTGGGATTTAATTTATAGAAAAGGCGATGGGAATTACCGCGCGCGATCTCTTTAAATTCGTCGTTTGGCTGTTGAAGGATGTAGTTGCGAATTGCCCGAATTGCTTCATTGGGATGGACAAAATTGTCCCATCAACCAGAGCTCTCCCTGCGTGAAAGTCGGCTTTTACATTTAAAAAAAAACCGCTGTACCCAAACGAGGTGACAGTCATTTACTTGAGATTCATGCAACATCTTATGAATATCAAACACATATTGATTCTCTGCATCTCTTTTATTTATTAGAAGCAGAGCTGACTTGCTATCAGAAAAAATAACAACCCTTTTGATACCATCAGAGATAGAAACCTTAATAGCATGTCGGATGGCGAGCAACTCAAAAAAAGCCGAGGAAAGTTCCTCCGCCACTTTGACTCGATGTACTGCTTTAGATAGATGTTTCACGACCGAGAAGCCAGATACATTATGTCCGACAGAATCGTCGGTGGCATATATATCGTAGCCGTTGTTGTAATAAAAAAGGACCTATTCTTGGCATAACATCCTCGTACAAGAGAAGTTGATATTTTGTTTTGAGGTAGAGATCGATTCGAGAATGTTCATGAAGATTCTGCATTTGCTGGTAATGGAATTCAACGGAGAAATTGAATCGAACTTATCAAAAATATGACGAAGTTTGTGATAGCAAAAAGTATAGCTACAAGTGACAGTAACACTGAGAAATATAATTTCTTGAAAAAAGGAAGGATTTACCATCTTGACTTTAATTAACTCTTTGGCAGTGCAAAAAAGGGCGCTTTCGGACACGGGCCACTCACCAGATATGACATTGAGAATATGTTGAGAAGTTGAGGGGTTCAGTCCAGTACAACGCTTCAACATTCGATTTTCAAATACTTGTATACGTTTCTCAATATATTTTAGAAAATTGCAATATGTGTCCAATGTGTACAATGTCCAAATTCAATTTTGGACATGACTAAAGATTTGTATACAGTCAGAGCGTTTTCGGAAGGCAAGCCTGACTGGTTGCTAGTCATGAGTTTGATGATTTTACATCCGGATTGACAGTCTTTGAAGGCTTTCTCATAATGCCCACGAAGAATTAAGCTGTCATTTAAAATTCTACCGAGAAACCAAAAAAATTTCACCTGATCGACTTGAGTACTTTTGATAAAGAGCCTGATTTCACGTTTAGAACCTTTGGCAAAATAAATAGTATTTGTTTTGCTGGGGTTAAAATATAAATTGAGATCAGCGGATGCATCGAAAGTAAATTAGCTTTCATCGATAAATTATTGACAGCAGCTGAAAAAGATGAGTCCGCAAATACAATTAGGAAATCATCTGCATATTGAAAAATACGAGTTTTGTCATCTTGAAGATCATGCAAAGAAGCTGTGTATAGATTGAAGAGTACGGGGCTTGAACCCTTGTAGGATACCGCCACATATTTCAACTTTTTCAGTACCCATCACCAACACACGCTTGGATAAAAAAATAAAGTATCCACAGCCGGATTTAAAGAGGAATCGAAAAGTTAAGAGAATTCTACCAAGCTTAATTAAGTTGACACAGTTATAGACTTTGCTAATGTCCAGGGAAAGCATGGCAACCATTTTACCTGCTATTTTTAAGCTAGCTATGAGAAAAGATAGTTCGTTAACGCACATATTCGTAGATTTGCGTTTTTGATAGGCTTAAGCGGGAGTTGGAATAATATTCTCAGTTTTCAAGAAATCACTTAGTCTCTCCTTAACCATGAGGTTGATAGTTCTTATGAATACAGATATTAGTGAAATTGGTCTGAAGTTACTTAAATTATTGAAGTCTTTACCTGCCTTAGAAATGAGAGCTATTTTGATGCAACGGAAATCAGAGGGTGTGTTGTTGAGACAACTAAAATTGAAGATATTGTAATCGGACTGACACTTAGAATATAGCTCTTGAGCATATCCAAGTCTCTTTTATTATCATGGTCATTCCACAACCGCTCAATTTTCGACTAGAATGTCGATGACCATTGATGTATTTCCAGAAAGGGGGTGGGTTAACGTTACCACATACTCTTCTATCGCGATAGCTCTACGTGTCTTTTTCGCCTTTCTAACTGCAGATCGCCATTCTTTCAGTGTTTCCATATATTCAATGTAGTTGGCTGGATTGGCATATTTAGTCATTTTTTTTCCTTGCAGCAAGGTATTTGCGGGAATGTGTTGACAGGGAAGAGTTGCACGAAGGTTTAGGTGAGAAGGACTCAATGCGAGGAAAGTTGGTTCTAGCAGACCTGATCACAGGCTGAGAGGCACTTTGAATTGATGATAAATCGGAAGGAAGATCAGTGGGAGAGTGCTGACTTTGGTCAATGGAAACGTTGGATGTGTTCCAGTTGAATGATAAAATAGTTGAATTCGAAACAGTTAGGTCCAAGACACTGCTCGCCGTGCAACCACTTCGGTTACAGTGAAAGGTAGTTTTACCATTATTTGAAACTGCTGGAATTGATGGCATTTAAAAGGATCTTGTCTTTGTTGGTCGAGACTTGATCGCCATACAAGCAACGTCTCGCATTGAAATCTACAGCTGGAATCACATTTTGTTCGCCGTCAAGAAAGTCACAGAATTTCTGAATCTCATCACGAAAAGTTTGTACATCGAAACTGGGTGGAAAATAGCATGATGCTATGAAAACATTCGGTTTAAAGTTCATGGTTTTGATGATGATAATGTCAACAACAGAGTTATAGGGAATATGTCTAAAATTGACACTTTTCTTAATTAATATACTAACACCACTGAGGCATAATTCGAAACTTTAACGTGAAAACAATTTTCATCTTTCAGAAAAACTTCACTTAAGATGCAGACACCAACCTTACTTGAGCTCAAGTAAAAATCCAAAAACGACAGGTTACGTCGAACACTTTGAATATTATATTGTAAAAAGGACATCATATTTAAACTTGAGAAGGAACCCGGGCGGATTTCCTCGTAGTGCTGGATGCTTGAACGGGACGAGAATTGGCACAGACAGACATTTTTTCTTCGAATTCTTTAATAAGATTATGAGAGATCGTCGGACGGATACTTACTTTAGTCGCAGAGAATAACCTTTCAATTTCTGCAGAACGCAAATAGTTGTTTGAAATTACCGAAGACTTGTTTTAGACGGCTTGGGGGGGGTGATTTGAGAGACGGTTTGGTGGGTGAACTGAGAGGAGATTTCGAAAGAACCGATTTCCTTTTCACAACAGCATTAAATTTATTTTTGGTTAAAATTTTATTGGCATTTTCATTGTCGTGGTTACTCGAAATTGCAGATGCGTTCCCCAATGGAGGGAAATTGTCGTCGTAGGAGGTGCCGTCAAGACATTCGAAGTATCTTGAGGAAAACTTTATTTTTACCTCTCTATACGAAAGATATTTAATTGCCATGATCCTGTTAGTTTTTGATTCAAGTCCTCTGTTCGGGCAAAACTTGTTGAGAGTGTTGTGTTCACCTGAACCACGGACCAAACACTAGAATGCAATAATTGGATTTAATTGACTTAGGAAGGGCTTTCCCTTTAAAGCCGATTTTGATGCTGGTTGTGGAAATCCACTCATGCTTGTTTTTGGGATTCGTCCTTTAAAAACGGACAGTGGACTTGAACGGAATATCGGACACGGCGTTTTTAATTATCTAGTCTACACTGTATATACGTGGAATGTTTCGAATGACACCAAATTTCTCGAACGACCTCGGTATGTACACCTTTGAATTCTTCTTAGTAAAATAGTTATTTATGACAAAGTTTTTGGCATTGGCAGCAGAACTGAAAAGCAGTTTGGCTCTGCCCCTGTTAACAACTTTTAGTTCTTGCAAGCCGTACATGGAGAAATCCTTCAGGTAATCGTAAAACAAGAGATCGGAATTGATATCCATACGATTCACTTCAGCGTTTGCGCACGTCTCGACAAAAACAACAAAATTGCATTTCGACAAGCAGTCGTACAAATTGAGCTTGAGATTTGGGGCGGCTGTGGCACCCAAACCAGATGGTTTGTCGACTGCTTGATTACTAGCTTCTCCATCAGGAGATAAAAGAATTTTATTCTCACCCATCCTCGAACTCTTGGTGTGCCCAATGGCGTTCATATAAAAATCTTCGAAACAGTCCCTTTCAGTAATTATAAGATCAGACCCAGTCTCCATGGGGAGACTGGGTGATGTTGTATTGCCTGTTATCACGGGGAACACCAAAAAAAATCAGAACAAAAAAATAAAAAAATTTTAATATATATATTGCTTTTTAATCCTTCTCTCAGTTGCCTCTTCTTCCTTCTCTCCTTTTCTTTCTTTAAACTTTTTTTTTAAATATGTGGTTACTTTCTTAAACCTTTTGTTTTCTTTTTTTTGCTTCTCTCTTTCCTTTTTTTTAAATTATTTAAATTCTTGCCAATTTTTTTTTATTTTTTAAATAACACCAGTAAAAACATAAAAATTATCAGCTGCCGTTTGCTGAGATGACGTGTTGAATCAAGTGTAAATGTTAAGGCAATTCCTTATTGTAACGTTTCATGAATTTGTCTTTTATGTTTATATTAATTTCTTCATATTTGACTCTACAACAATATCTTGTCACATTTTCCTGTAAAACAATATTGTGTGAGCTGGCTAAGATAAGAAAGATGCCTTTATGAGCATAAAGATAATGTGCGGATACTCGTGTTTTCACAGCTTTCTATATAAAACTTCCCATTAAATTCCATGTAGAATTGAAGCAGGTCGACATATCTTATACACCATTCTTGCAAATTTTATATTGAGGCTGTCAACATATGTGGGAAACTTCAACAAGAAAAGTGTTGCCGTTGCGCAATAATTTCGTCATGGATTTACTCGAAAATAAATAACATCCTTACTTTAATTAATGAATTTCAAGAAAATGGCACATTTCTGCAACTTAATTACACTTCATGCTAAGCACGTGTAAACGAAGAAAGTTTTTGTAAACGTAAATACATCAGAGTGTTTTTGGACAATGGTTAATTTTCGCAATAATTCGGGCAACAGAAGAGGAGGGAATTATAACAATAATTCCGACAAGAGTAACAGAAGTCAGAAATTGAGCAACAAAAAACGCAGAGCTAGGCGTCCACAAAATTCATTGTACAATAAACCATTCAAAGGAAGCCGAGGAAGTCGAGGAAATAGCTACGACAAAAAATTTGAAAAATTTGTGGATACACAACATCGGGATCGAGAACGAGACTATCAAATGAACTGGCGTTATAATAACAATGCACCCCAAAATAATGTATTCTTCAGCCAGGAGAGCATGCACTCTAATAATAATATGACAAGGAATGAGCAATCGACTGAAATTGAACAAAAAGATGTTGCTCTTGTTTCTTTGTCTCCACAAAAAAAAGAAGAAAAGAGGGACATCGAAGTAGATACAATGAATATACGTACACTTGGGGATGATGCCGTTGAAAATATGAAAACTGGAAATTCGAATTTGTCGTTAAACATACAGGGAGAGCAGCCACAAATTAAAGTTGAAAGTAGAAGTGAGACGTCTTCATCAAGTTCCTCTTCAAGTGATTCTTCCTTCGAAGAAGAGCAGTTTTCAAAATCACAAATAAAACCTCCATCATCCCCTGTAAATACGTCCACAGTAAAGGGCAGAGATTTTCAAGGAAAAGATAAATCCAGGGATCTCGAGTTGTGCAACAAAGTGCCTTCTTCCTCAAGTTCGGACGAAAGCCTATCTACATCATCGCTAAAAAAGTCGCGAATGCCTAAAAAACAAGAAATTTCGGAACCAAAACTGAAATCGGGGTCGTCGTTTTTTGGAGAGCAAAGTGACGACGATGTAGTGTGCATGGGACATTTAAACAACCAAATTGATTTAGACGATGAAGAAGAGAGTGATAGTAAAAGGCCATCCAAGAAGAGCAAGAAATCTAAAAAAGATTCACCTTGTTCTGAGCAATGTAAGCTTTGTGATAAGGAGGTAAAAATGTTACAAATTAAAAAAGGATAAATTACTAAGTTACTTTCTTGTAGGGTCATACTTCATTTCAATGCCAAATGATATGTAAAAACTGTTCAACACCATACCATGGTTTCCGCACGTGTCCACAGCCCCCTAATTTAAACACCATGTTGCATATATTTATGGAATTTTGCATGCAACAATTACAACACTTTCAGCCCAATTCGGAAGCCTCTTTACAACAGATTCAACATTTATTAAATAACGGATCTCCAACCGTTCCAATACCTTTGGTTAGCAAGCCTGCGATGTATGTGAATTCTGCCAACAAAAGGAAATTGAAAAAATCTGCCGCAATAGAAAAGCAAGCTGCTAAGAAACCTAAAATCAAATTGAAAGCCGGCACAATTCGTAATGATGAAAGCGAACTTAACGGGAGCAATACTTGCAGTTCCTCCAGCTCAGACAGTAGTATGTCGAAGGCCTCCTCGAAATTAAGCAGAAAACACATAAAAACGTTGAGAAATGAAATAGGTTGTTTGAACTTCCCTAATTTTTTATCTGCGCCTGCTAACTACTTGAATTTACTCAACAGTGTCCCAAATTTTTCCGTTAGTAGTTCCTCGCCTCCTAGCGCCTACAATCCAATGTTATTGCAACAAATGTTTCAAAATTCATTTGGATTTTTAAAGAATAAATAGCTTTCTTATTTTGTAAAACTTCTGTTTAATATTTTCTGCTTGAGCAGGGGCAGCAGGTGCAATGTACTACATCATTTTCAAATTTCATATTGGTGCAAAACATTTGTGCATGTGAAACTAATTCATTTCTATACTCTTTTTAATTTTGCTTTTTTTTGTTGTTTTTGATATTTAAGGTCACTAACGGTTTGTGTGAAAGTTGCACCATTATGTTTAATAACGGACTTTGTTAGTAAGCGACGTAATTTATCATTTTGATGGTAATTCAGATTTCTATTGTCGAAATCTTTCAAAATTTCCGTGGATACAAGCCTAGCTTCATGATTGCGTGAAACTTTTTTCTTCGTGGTCACATTATGCTCTAAAGTGTTTGTTATTTGTTCACGTTGTCTTTGTTTGCCATCATCTTCAAAACTCTCCCATTGTGTGAGTTCTTCCCTTTTCTTTTGCATTAACACTTTGCGATAATTTATTTCACGTTGCTTTAAGCACTTACGCGCTTTTTCGTTGTCCATGTTCAACTGTTTAGATCGTTGTTTCTCTTCTCGTTCTTTTGAAAGCATTTCATCTTTGAAGTACTTCCAAGCCGTAGGAATTTCGAACTTTTCGCTTCTGTTTTTATTGTATTTACTCGATTTTTCTTTGTGCTGTTTATTGGATTCGATTGGTTTGAATTTCACTTTACCCCATTGTTCAATTTTTGCTTTAAGTTTCTTATGTTCTTCCTTTTGCGATGTTTTAAAAGGATTCCTACCCATCATTTCGTAAAGCTTGGCTCAATGTTAAGCAAAACCAATCTTTGGTAATCGAATTAATAAATTCTCTCGACTTATAAATAAATCTTCTTCTTCTTCTGATATTCAGCAAATTAATGACAAAATTGCTAGCATGTGTAAAAAAGGCCAATTGTGAGCACAGAGTTCTTTTCTTCTTGTTGTTCTTTATTTGAGCCTTAGTTAAACTGGGGTTAGATATGGAATATAATATTACTATTTATTTGTTTTAGTAATTATTTCATTAAACTTTTTTTTTTTAAGTTTGCGTCTTATACGTCTTTTATCGTGGTTTTTATTAAAATATGCACATTACTCGTCCTCTACGTAGGAAAGAAGAAAAGAGCAAGCAGTAAATTCCGATATATAAGATGTAACGTGGTATATGAGTATAAAAGGTTATATAAAGGGTGTGATGGGTGTGAGAGCAAAAAAGTGCAAAAGAAAGTAGTTTCATAAATTGACTGTAAACGCTTATATGTCTTGATCACATGACTTTTAAACTGCGACAACGCAAAATGTCAAGAATGTTATGGTCACGAAAACCACGTATACTCAATTCACGAAGTATGGAACAGCGAACAGAAGTGGGCCCATTCGGACAGACAAATAGGATATGATTAGTAATACTCCACATGTGCATAAAGGGTTGTTTACTATGTTAATTTTGAATAAATTATCGCTTCATCTCCTGTGATTGAACATCAGCCTGTCAATAGGAGAAATAATGTCACGTCTTAGGCCGCAACTGATAAACCAAAGGGCTTTATTTATATGTGGAAATAGAGATTACAAATAACGACTATAAGGAAAATTATCCCATCGCTGTTGCAAACAGAGAACTAAGTGCTTTTTGTCGATGTCTCAGATTTGCAGGGATCACAACACGATCATTAAAATGAGATGGGCTGGAAGATCATCTTGTAACGTCCGCGTACAAGTGTAGGGTAGGGTTTTGTTGGTTTGCTTTGACCAGCATATAATGGTGTGCCGTTATTCGATATCGCGTGATTGCAAGAATAGCGACTTGTCGTTAAGCAGAAAAAGAGATCGAGTGAGAAAAGAATTTGGTCCTGGAACAGATTGTTAGCATTTTGTCTTGTTTGGGAGATGTTTTTTTTGATCGCGATAATATACGAAAATAAATTTTTTTTAAGAATTTTAATAAGAGTAATTGCGTGCAGTTTTCCCCTTTTTTATTTTAATTGTAATACTATATATCATAAATTCCGAAAATAGAAGAATTAACAAAACTGTGTAATCGTATAAATGAGATGTATAAGAGAAACGGAAGACCCGCAAAAACACAGTAACGCAAAACATCAAAATATGTAAAGAAAAGTATAAGTAAAGAAATTGACGCTTAATGTACAGACGATATACAAATTTGACAACAAGTTAGCAAAGTCAACATAAGAAAAATGTGTGAAAGCGAAAAAAATTTAAATGAAAAGTAAACTAACAAACTTTTTCGTTTATGTCAAACAATAGAAATATCTTATCACAATAACATTCTATATAGTAACTACATATGCAGAGGATATTTTTCACAGATTTTCGTCGAGAAATATTGAACATGCAAATTTTCTTCATGGAACATCTTTCTTCTTTAAATTTGTGGTCGAGTCCCATAAGAATCGGATTTATTAAAATCTATCCAATATTGTATAAGACGATCCCAAACTTCCAAAAGGAGACGGTATAGCAGAAAAATTTTTGGGAAAAGTTGAAGACAAAAAGGTTAGAAAGTAATGCAATTACTAGATAAACGTTTGAAAATAGTTTTTTGTTTAAATATTCATAAGCAAACAAACTCCGCAGTGCCTGAACGAAATTTTAATTTAAAGTCCAACGTTTGATAATAATGTGAACTGAAATCCTTACGTGGAACGTTTGATAATAATGTGAACTAAAATCCTTACGTTGTTCTGTAGAAAGTAATAAGCCAACGGTGGTGTTATAGATTTCAATTTGTCGTTCTTGGTACCAGATTCATACATTAGCGCAATATGAAGAGCAATATGAATTGAATTTCTTGCAAAAATATATTATTGCCTTGTTCGTTATAGGTGCTCAAATTTATTTACCAATTACTTTAACATTAAATTGTAGAATTTATAATAGCATTAAAAAGGATCAAGAGGTTAACAATAATACATTGTTTTAAAATCACGTTTCTTTATTGTATTTGCATTAAATATTCCCTCCCTGTGTACATATATGTAAATATTTAAACAATTAAAAAGTGTAAACTAATTTAAAGTGGACAATGTGTGCTCTATAATTATAAGGTCAAAATTTGCATTAATATAATAAACTGAAGCTAAAGGTTATACGATTATATTATAAACAAAAAAAAAGTGTTAAAATTACGTTTCGTAGCTACTGACAGGGGTTGATAGAAGCACCTTATTAAAAATTTCGTACTAAATTAAATAAATATAGCACATAATAAATAATTTATAAATACCTTTTCACTTTAAGCTCGTTTGTATGTGTGCAATATAATTTTAGCTAAGTACGTTTAAGCTATAAACACAAAAGAAGAAGGATACACTGATAATTCATTGAGTTTATAGTATGCAATGAAAACTTTTATTATTAGTTGTTTTTAAAAAGTGGAATTTTTTTGTTGAGATAGTTTCGTGTATGTTTTACTATATACCTTTTATAACTATATATTTAAAATATGTGTGAGTAAATATATCAACACTTATACAAAGCTGTATGAATTTGTTGGTTGTTCAATAGTACTTGTTAATCAATTGTTAAAAGTTTTCTTTGTAAAATATTGTAAAGATGTATACTCAATGTAATGATGTAGGTTCAAAAGTGTGAAGGTATTGGATTTATTTAATTTGTATCGCAGTGCGCTACTGCGGTTTTGTCCCTAATCTGCTCGGCTGCAGAACGCCAAGTCTATCCGTCTCATGTGGTGCCAAAAGAACTCGGCAAGAGACGATCTCTAATTAAAGTTACGAGGCGGATAGAACGCCTTTATTAAAACAGCGAGTTGATACGCTTTGATTGAACTGCATGAAACAATTAAAATTCTTTATTTGCCAGGTGCATTATTTATACTTAAATCTATAGGTGATTTTATGCTACGTTATCAATTATTTTAATTAGGGCGGCTGGCATCGTATTGCATTTCGCAATGCAATACCCAGCCAGTTGAAGTGTGACAAAATTTTTGTTTTACTTTTTTGCTACTGTCGCACTTCAAAGTGGATGCATACGACGGTATACGATCACACTACAATATTTTCGGTTGTTTTATATACTTTAGATATATGAAAGCATATATATATATATGAATATCTATATATACGTGTGTGTAGAATTCTACTGTAGATATATGAAAGTATATATATGTTGTATGATTCTAGGAAATGTGGGTGGTGATTTTAGAAATGTGGGTTTCGGTATGTGAAAGTACTTTGACAGGCGTATTTTTTTTTTTCTTAAAATAAATTACAGTCTTTAAAGCCACTACATAAAAAAAATAACATTATATTTGCACCTTTATTGTTTTTCATTAGTTCTAATTTTCAGGATATTAGTGATTTATATTCAAATTATTCGAAAAATTTTTTTTGTTTGGTTTAAATATAAACTTAAAAATTTTAAGAAAAAAGAAGAATTATTTTAACTATTTCAAATAAGTTTAGACAACTTTAGAAAATGCACCAAATTTTTAAGGCACAAATGTTGCTTGTTTCACGCATGTAGAGAATAGTTTAGCCTGAAAATCAGTCTGTTAAAAGCTAAACATATATATATGTATATATATATATATATACATACAGATGTAGTAAGGTCACTATGGGTATCGAAGGTTTCTTCCCTAAAAATTGGGGAAAAGTATAATAAAATCTTATAATAAAAGCAAACATTGTTTGATGATTTTTTGTCATTGTAAGCGGCTTTAAAACTCCCCATGAAATTTATGAGAATAAGTATGAATGGAGGACCGACGATCCCACTTGTACGACACAGTCAATCCAAACTAATGATTTACCGCCTTGAGAATGCATTACAGTTGTTATGGTCAGTTTAATGTATCTCATTAAACCGATCAGTAACGTCCATGTAAATATCTATGAAAAGCAATCAAACATTAACAGTTTTATAAGTTTTTTCAAATAACTTTTAATACGATTGAGTATAACTTCCAAAATACTAAGGCCACAACTTAAATCTTTTAACCATAAACGCTTAGTTTTATCATGTAATTCTTTCCATGCCGCACCATTTAATTGAATAAGATTTTTTGCTAAGGGATCGGCTTACATTATTGTATAACGCGATCTTGTAAATGATCAGCATTTACTACCAAAATTTGAGAAACAGCATCAAGATCCAACATTAATTCTATCCATTTTAGCCAAGCGTAAACACCGATAAATGGTGCTCGTCTATCAAAGAGGGTGTAGAAACGTCACAAAACATCAGCTATATGCAGCTTATTTCCAACACTTGGGTTTAGTATGCAGTATACCACGATATTTCCAATAACTTGAAGGTGCTTCCACTGTTAAATAGAGAATTGTTGTATAACCCAAAAGGGTGAGCATTAAAAATTTTGGCAATGTGCCAGAATTGTTATCTATTTACATATCTTTAAGGAAAGCAGTCTTTTTTTCCAAATAATGTTGAGGATTTCTTTATATCAATTATCTGGAGTTTAGTAAATTTTCTATATCACTGGTACAACCTCAAAGACAATTTTCGAATTGGGACTCCAACTTTTTTCAGTACTCGAAAATAGATAAGTTATGCCCATAGGATAAATAAAAGAATGGCAGAAAATGAAAAAAAAAGAATTTCAAAAATTCTGAAATATATGGAGATTTTTTAGCTTCTGCGCCAGATTTTCAGGTTAGTTGTATGAATGTTTTTTGGCTTATTTATTCCTCAGCGGTAGCAACTACTAAGTCTTCGTCAGGCATCAATGCCGTTGTGCATCAATAAATTTTTGTAATGGGCATTTCGTTAAATTATACAACTGTATCAGAAATTTACCGCGTTTAACGTCCCAATGGAGATATTCGCTAGTATGGTCTGGTGGCGACTCATCTTGTGTCTTAATCTGAAATTAACTAGAAATGAATAACCAAGTTCTAAATGCCAATCAGTAAAGATAAATTCAAACTCACCATTGGAATACAGCGAATATTGCGAAGAAGGGGGAGTTGGCGGGTGGAGGACTCTGCTCCTTAGAAGGA